TTGAATTTGTCATACCAAAGTATTTATGAAAGGGATATGTATATCTATTATCTGTGTTATTTAAACAGTATGAAAAGAAGAGAGTTGAGATCTGAAACGGTTTCGTAAAAGTGTGTGCCTGTTCAAGCCAAGAGCCTTACCAACAGTGTTTTATTTAATAATGATAATGGCTTAATTGCTAAATTATTAATCTTTATATTTTTTTTGACATTTTCTATGTAATTTCTGTTTAATCTTAGTATGTACCTCAATTGTTTGTGGACTTGAGTAAGACAACTTTAAAGGCTGGCATATTGTAAAGATATGTGTCAATTTTTGAGGACTATGTTGTCTCATCGACGTAGACCCTTCATATTTTTCTTTCATTTCATACTAGGTTAATATGAAGATTTGCATTAAAGATAAGCTTTTGTTAATATGATTTATTACCTTTATCATGTTTTTATAATGTATTAGTAGCAAATCGTTTTAATTGGCGAATTTATCGACAGCAATCCCAAATTCGCTAGAAATAAAATTGTCCATCAAGATAAAATGTCTGTTTCCTGCAACTAGGGGTTATCGACACATTTTTGCAAGCATCGCATGAAACTTTACAACTGCGAACAACAGGTGTTAACGTGATGATTAAATGAATATCTGTAATTGAGTCAAATGTATTAGAATTTTATATAAGCAAATATCAAAAAGATAAAAAAAAATGTCAATGTAGTACTATCTACCGGAGCTTTTCCATGCGACATTTTAACCTATGCTAACTAGGGGCTTTATTGAAGATATACGGAATTTAATCAAACCCAGTAATACCCTGTTGGAACTATGACATAAAAATCAATGCATTTCAAAGTGAGATTTAAAATAAAGAGGAAGATACCAAAGGGATAGTTAAATGCATTGGCGAGATCTTTTACAAAATACAAACATTGAAGCATAACATTTAGCTGGCCATACATTGCCAGTCGCAAGAAAGTTTTCTTTTCCTTTTTAACAAACCTTTATCAAGGAAAACCAACCTTTGGAATATCGTTTCAAATTGGAGATATATTTATTCCATATACAGCCGCTATTGCAATGTCGTTCCTCAGACATACATAGTTTTAAATTGGTAATTTGAATTTCAGTTAAGCGTGTATTCTCAACTGACACTCATTTAACCTTATAAATGTAAATTTGAAGGAGATTCATCTATTTAAGATGTATCATTTACTGTGTGTGCGATTTGATAAATGCGTTCAAAATGGCCAACAACTTTGAATTATTTAGTAATAGGAAACCATCCGTAGCAGCACGCGAGTTTGGCGGATATTACAAACTTCTTTTTATCCTGTTTGAGAAATTCCTGTATAATGTCGACACGAGGAGGAACACTAGTGTTTCCCCTAAAAATGCCAGTCATCTATTGAAAAAAATGTCAAATTTCAATACAAACTTAAATTTAAATAAGTTATAAGGCTGAATGTTTTCATTTTGGTTTCGTTATGATTTTGAAAGAAAGCTATAGGAGTGAAACGACAGATTAACTTTTGATGTACGTGTTCTATATTTGGGATCTTGTTGTCTCCCTTTAATTTGTTTTGGTTTTTCTCCGCATTTAACGTGGTATTTCTTTGAAAATATCTCCTTAATTTTTATCTCATTTGTCTTTTTTGAGATATAAAAAAATGTTTGGTTTATATTTAAAAATTTTATGTTGATAATTAAACTAATTTGTATGTCATTTAGTTGCTCTTATTGAAACATCTGGTAACCGTAAATCAGATATTTATAAGTATTAAATCACATGTCTTTATTATTATTATTATAGCTGATGTTCTTGTTGAAAATATGCAGATCAATATTTGTAATCTTTTTTATGTAAATAAGACCTTTATAAACCCAAGCAGCATATCATATTCGCCTTTTAATTCAGTAAAATATATTGTCATAACCCTTGAATGCTTTCAATTCTGAATATTTTCTTTATAAATGTGAAGATATGATGTCAATGTTTTTTGTAGTTTTGTCAATCATAAGCTCAAAATAAACAGCGTCAATGATTTGTTTGTATATATTACTATAAAAAGTAATATTAGACTGTGTACATATCATTCAATTATATTATTTGGATATTTTGTGATCATTGAGTTTTTTTTTTCATTTGAGAGTGTTATGACAACCTAAATATTGTAATCCCGGGTCATGTCATGACGTATACTCATATACACCTGTGATATATTTCTGTAAGTGTTAATGAAACATTTGATCTGGACATAATATGCAGTTAATTATTTTTGAATTTCAAATATATAAGTCATATATATAGTGTTCGTGTGTTTATTAATGTGCAACACGTTTTTTTTTATAGAAAACCAGTTGCTCTACCTTCGATCCGTTTTTTTGTAATTTCAAAACCACTTAAATCATGTTAATACCAATCCATTGTCCTAACGTAAATTCACCATCATTTAAAGATTATTCGAAGCTGTTATTCAATATAAGATTGTTGGAGAACTATTACAAAAACCTACAGTAACGTTATCTGCAAATACGGCAATATATTTGTTACTAATTGTTTTATTTTAAATAAAATGAATTATTGAAAACTGTTAAAGTTTATTTTACGTTTATTAAAAAACACATAAAGTAGCATGACAAAATATCTATGTATTGCAATACATTTTAAACATGTATAATTAAAACCAATGTCGTCCTATTTAAGAACTAGTTGAACACAAACAATTTAATGCAACGATATATATAGAGGTATACTAATTCGGATATTCTGTACTTCATAATAGCACCATCATATCTTATGCGTGTATGAAATAAGAGTGCACACGCTAAAATCATGAAAAGGTCTTAACTGCTTTAATTAGCATGATTAAATTCATGTTTAAAGCCTGTTATATTAAAGTTTTACTAGAATCAAATTCACTTAACATTATCAATGAAGTCAAGGTAAAATACCATGCTAATATCTTCCGTAAATTTGGTTTTGAAGTTTGACTGTAGCAAATTTGTTGCAAACAGGACTTCACAAACTAATTTTTACGGAGATGTTGTTTACCGAGTCCGTAAATGTAGATGCGATCTGAATAAGCTTATCGATCCTTTATATCAACTTATTCTTGAAGGTTACAAATTGAACACTGTGAATTGATCCTTAAATAATATGTTCATCGGTATAAACAATTATTTTGTTATCAGCAAATTAAAACCAACTAAACATTACTGTTATACATGTTCATTCACGGTCCTATTGTCTGTCAATGCATTTGCTTGTCGCATTGCCCAAGGCCACGGTCATGTTTTTCTCCGACTGTTAATAACGTATTAACCCTAAATTAATTGGATGTTGCATGTTTACTGGTTGATACTTTAGACTTACATACATTAATTTTTGTATAAGTTGTTAGTGGCTTTAAACTAGTTTGTAGTAACTGCGAGTATTTCTACTTTGTGTCTTATGTGTTTGTGTAATTATTCTCTGTCTTTGTGCGCGATATCGATCTGTTAAGTTAAACCCTTTTAAACTGATTTTTTCAGTTTGTTCTGATGTTCTACTGTTACACCACTGTAAATGTTCGGGGTGGGTTAGCCACCAGTAGCCCTTTTCACAAAAAATCTTAAGTGTAAAATTTATCGTAAGTCTAAAATATTCCTTAACAATTCAACTAAATATTTTTATCGTAAGATTAATTTTACACTTAAATTTTTTGTAAAAAAGGGCTACTGTAGTATATTTAACCCTGCCACGTTCTGTATGTGCCTATCCCGCGTCAGGTGCCTGAGTTGTGTTGGTTGTTGATGGATATCATATTTGGTTTTCTCAAAAAATCTTTACTTGAAGGAATGAACCATGCAAACCTCACAAACACTCCATACACCAAATGTAATTCACCAATTGCTTATAGTCTCTGATAAACTGACAAAATAATCAAAACATTGACCAAAGGACCATGAAAATGTAGTCAATAATATATATAACCTTACAGACATACAAGTTAACCTTTCAAGCAATCAATGCATTAACCATAGTGACCCTATAACTTTAAGAAATAGACCAAAACACACAAACTAATCATTGTCCAATGGACTTTGAAAAAAGGAAACGATCAGATGAAACCTTGCAGTCGGTTATATATACCTTACAAGCTTAATACACCAACTATAGTTTACATATTGCATAAATGATATACGGACTTGACCACTGATCCATAGAATGGGGTCGATTTCTTGGTAACCCAGTCTTATGCACATGTTGACCTTTCAAGGATTCAAAACAACAAATATAGATACATCCTACAACGCATAACGAGTGATCATTTCACATGATGAATGAACAAACAATATTTTTTGTCAAGCAATCACTGAGCAACGGAAATGAGGTCAAGGTTAATGGACATACGTAAACTTCGTAGCATCAGGTATCTGCATGCATATATTTTATCTTCTGAAATATAAATCTGTATACATATTGATAACGCCGTCGACTTCACCAAATTTGCCTGATCGTAATCCCTATGTCTCACCTACCTGCGACGAAACTAATGCGCAAGTTACCACCAATTAAGACATCAAACGAATCAACATAAGCGTTATAATACTATGACAATAACTTATATTCTAAAACGTATAAACTAACATAAATATATGCAATATATAACCGTAAACAGATGTCATGTGCATTCGGTATAATGCTCTTTAATGACATATACATGTATGTGTTCCAAAATTCCTAAGTATGATCTTTTCTCAATAGGATCATGAAAAGGTTAACTAAATTCAAATATTGAGTGTACGTATTGCATACAAACAGTTGCAGGTAGTACTTTAAAGGAATACTAAAAGAAAAATATGTATAAACAATTTTCTGTTCTCATTTTCTTTAAACTAATATGGTTTTCTACTTAGGCAATGCAACCACATTATTCACTCAGCGATTTCTTTATTTCTCGTATTTTTTCCTTTATTTTATCTTCTATATTTACATATATTAACATATATCTGCAGATAAAAAGTTTTCAACTTATTGATATTTATTCTATAAATTTTCTGGAAGTATTCGGATTCTTCCTCGCATAAAACAAACCTGAATAATCTAACCATTATGACACTCCAAAAATGTACTTTTGAAGAGCTTGCACATCAAGTAACCAACACTCTGACTGGTGTAAAGTGGATTATTTCTCTAATTTCTTATATTCGATTGTATCGATGCGGCTCCCCAGCCAATTATTACTAACTGAAAAAGAAGAACCTATAACATGTTAAAAATGAATGAAATCGATAGACGTGTTGATTTTCTATATGCAATCAACAAGGCAACAGTTCTAAGATTGATCATTCCAATCTGTAACATGTTCAAAGACATTAATTCGACTTTGAGCCAACAAATCGTCAGTTTCTCTTCAGGGTGTCATGCTCTTGACTGTAAATCGTTATTCTGCAATTCTTGAAGGCTTTTCCCTATTTTCATTTCTTTATATCCAAGCGTCTTGTATACCCATATTCTCGTTTGCCTATTTTTCTTAATTCTTTTTTTTCTTTTTGCCAATTATTCTTTACTCTGTCAATCCATACGGAATCGCATGTTCTATCTACACTAGAAAAATATTGTTGTTTTCAATGTCAGCGACTATTTTGAAAATTCAAGCAACATATACAAGTCATTTACATCAAAACATGGCCATTTTCATATTCTTTACGAATTATTACAAAGCTTGCTTATTTAAGAGTTATCGTAATGACAATCCCAATGCTGAATTGCAATTTTCTGAAATCCACATTTTGGGCCGTTATATAAAAAAAAAAATTCTGGAGTAATGTCATATGCTTCATCTCCTTTCTCGTGTCTGAAAAGAAAAACTGTATAGATATATATGTATATGTATTAAGCCGATTTTTTTCAGTTTTCAGAAATTTTGAATATGTTCACTGCAAATTATGATGAACATCGCCGTATCGTTATATAGTATTACATTGTATTCTTACATACCCATTTTTTATGTTCTTTGTACAGACTGTTTTATAGTTTACTTCAAATGATACTTAACTAAAATTAGTGAATGGAAACGATAAATTCAGCAATTTTTCCATTTATAAAGAAGCATAACTCAAGAACGCTAAAAGTGAAGCCACCAAAACTCGAACTTGATCTGTGTTTTTTAGTAATTAACATTGTGTAAAAGTTTCATTACATTTTGCTGAGGCAAACTAAAGTTCGAGATCGGAAACGACATATTCAGCAATTGTTCCATTAATAAAGGGGCATAACTCAAGAACGGTTAACATGGTAAAAGTGACGCCACCTAATTAAATTCGAACTTGACCTGTGTTTTGTGAAAATAAGCGTTGTGTATAAGAGTATGATCCAAAAATAATTCAAGGACCATATCGGTGTCTTTATTACTGTTTTTTTCACGTCTGTCATAACTTGATGTGGACACTTAATATCCTATCACGGGAGGCCATTTATAGTGTAATGTGATCACAACAAGAATGTGGATAAACATTTATTAATTGTATTTTGGATATATTTGTAGTTGGGTTGATGTCTTATTGACGTACACCACATACATTTATTTTATTTATATCATTTGAAACTCTCACGTTAAAATCAGTCATGATGTCCTTTCCAACAATTTTCAAATTTACAATTATATTCCAAAGACTCCTTCAAAACACGTTAAATACGCACGACAGTATAGTGAAGTCAACCACCGACAATGATGATGACAAATTATCGATATTAATATGACTTGAACAATATATAACCCAAATTTTTACATTTTTACCTATTATGTCTGTTTGTTTTGCTCACACATTGATGTCAATATAATGGAATTCTATGCGACTGTCATGCAAGTGTGAGGTTTTGCTAGCTTTAAAACCCGGTTTAATCCACCATTTTCTACATAAGGAAATGCCTGTACCAAGTCAGGAATATGACAGTCGTTTTCCATTCGTTTGATGTGTTTGAGCTTTTGATTTTGCCATTTGATAAAGGACTTTCCGTTTTGAATTTTCCTTGAAGTTATTAGGTATTTTTGTTAATAACTTATTACAAGAGGCAAACACGTTCTGTAAAAGTCTAAAGTGCCACACCGCATGCAATATCAATTAAAGTAAGCAATTATTGATATACGAATGAAATTGGCACATTTGGTAATCAAGTTAATCTACTTCACATATGCGTTTAAGATATTGATTTGAAATAGGACATTAATTTAGAATTTAGTAAGAAAGGGTGATACCTATGAGGGATTTATGTTACTAAGAAAAATAAAAAAGGTAACTCTTCTTGAGTTACAAAAACAACTTTTATATGCAAAGGGAATTTTCTGTTGTTGATTCTTATATGGTTATCAGGCATTTATTTTGTGTAAGCTCATTTGACTGTCTCCATGAAAAAGCTTCATATGTGAGTTGCGACTGTTACTTTACAAAATACATTTGAATATATGAGATCACCCCCAGTTTTTGGTGGGGTTCGTGTTGCTTAGTCTTTAGTTTTCTATGTTGTGTCATCTGTACTATTATTTGTCTGTTTGTCTTTTTGTTTTTGGCCATGGCGTTGTCAGTTTGTTTTCGATCTATGAGTTTGATTGTCCCTCTGGTATCTTTCGTTCCTATTTTATACTTACTCTTAAAAATCGTTTATTGTATTATTGTTTAGTTTATTTTCCGGTTTTGATAATAACTTGAATTGATCAATACTCAGGTCCGCTTTTTAATGCCAACAAAACTTGTAATGCATGCATTTCTTTGAAATATGCATATGTTGATATTAATGTACTGTTAATTGGTTTATAAAGGTGTAGCGTGTGTCAAGCAATAATTGCAAAATATCATTTTCTTACGTTCCTTAAAGTTTGTAAACTAATGACTTCATTCATTTTAATGTTACCTATTTTTTTTTCTTGAACATTTTGCACCAACAATATCCTGATTTCTAGTTTAATAAGCATTTATGTGTTCTCCTAGCAAAATTTACCCCCATAAACGACGATTTGTTTATTACCTAGATTTAGGTCATGAATGTGAACAGATTTATAATCTACTGCTGTTTTCCCCTAGCGGTAGTTGAAAGCTCTATCTAATGATGGTAATGTACTGCACACTACACATGATGACAAAGTAGTATATAGTAACAATTGTAAACAAACATGTTAACCGAAGGAATATTAAAAGGGAGTTTTAGGATAGTGTAGATATTTCAAAACTCCTGTAAGATATTAAGGAAAAACGAGCAAATACTCACGTCATCTCATCTGTATTAACCATCGAATGTCCTTTGAGGAAAACGAAAGTAATAATAACACTTAAAGAACCCACACTTGCTATAACTGCTATTATAATAGGTCCACTATAAATCTTCAGATTTTCAGTATCTATGATTAAAAAAAAAAAAAACAAATAGCAATACATTTTCGTTCAGTGTATTTTTAAGTACCTTTGTGTCTTACATTTACCATGCATACCATGTATACCTGTTTTGATGTAGGCGGCATATAGTAAACATTATATAATCAACTAAACGTTCATGTTTAAATGTTTCGTAAACTATACGGACACGAATTTGTAACAGCTCGCGACGTTAACGTAACATATTTTAACAATGATAATAAGTTGTATATATGTACACAAAAATAGTATTTTTTTATATCAACATTTTATACCTTCAAACAACAAACTAGATTGTTTATCTAATTCTGATAGTATATTGTTTTTGCCATAGTAGCTTATTGTTGCCGCATCAAAATATCATCAATTTACATGATGCATTAAAAATTAAAGACGTTATATTGGGTTGAAAGGTGAGATATTTTGAAATATACCTGTAGATTGAGTTTCAATCGTTGTTTTGTCTTTAGTATCTGTAGTTACTACTTTCATATTGATATTGGTTTCTGTATCATCAAGCATGATATGAATTGTTGTATGTTGTATTGTTGTTCCTAAATTAGTAGAGGTGGCTGGTAGTGTTGTATTCTGTGGTGTCTCTGTTGTAGTGTCAATCTCAGTTGAAGTGGACGGAAGCCTTTTTTTCTGTGTTGTCTCAGTTGATATAATTTCTGTCGTTTTGTCCATTTCAGTAGAAGTGGACGGTAGCGTTGTTTTCTGTGTTGTCTCAGTTGTTATAATTTCTGTCGTAGTGCCCATTTCAGTAGAAGTGGGTGGTAGTGTTGTTTTAAGTGTTGTCTCCGTTGATGTATTTTCTATCGTAGTGTCCATTTCAGTAGAAGTGGATTGTGTCGTTGTTTTCAGTGTTGTCTCTGTTGATATTCCTTCTGTCGTAGTGTCCATTTCAGTAGAAGTGGGTTGTAGCGTTGTTTTAAGTGTTGTCTCCATTTCAGTAGAAGAGGATTGTGTCGTTGTTTTCAGTGTTGTCTCTGTTGATATTCCTTCTGTCGTAGTGTCCATTTCAGTAGAAGTGCGCGGTATTGTTGTTTTCTGTATTGTCTCTGTTGATGTCATTTCTGCAGTTGCTTCAAAAATTGTATAAAGGTTTAATAGAATGATGATCAAGTGCTCAACGCTTTTAACATGTGTAAACTTGGTGTGCTCTGATAATGTAGGTTATTTTTCAGTATTGGTACATTACTAGGGGTTCATTTTTTGTACTGCCAAATTTATCAATTATTGATTGTTTAGAAAAGATAAATTTAAAGTTCCAATTTAATAAATTGAACAAAGAATAATAGCTATTGTATTTATTGAATATGACAGTTTCATTTGCGAAGATTTAAATTGCAAACTTATTCCAACATGATTCTGTGAACAGTTTTATTTCCTTTGCAATAAATACTTGAATATCAAATAACTTTTTGAAACACAAACCACAAATAAAAAAGAATAGATTTTAATGATACCTGTAAATCCTAATAATGTAATCTGATTTTGTCAGGTTATAAAGTGTACTCTAACTGGGGACATATGGCGATTTTACTTCCGGATATCACTACAATTAACAATCTGTTATTAAAGATTTACTAATATGTGACTTTCGTAGCAAATATATTTTGTGAGTCATTCAGCGCATTCAACTTTTACTTGAATGTTCATGCATACATATTCTTTTTAAATATACGGATGGTTCTATTGACTTTGCTCTATAGAGGAAAGGCACGTGTAAGTGGAGAAAAGTGCATCTATAACTATTCACGTTTCAACAGCACTTAAGTTTATCCTTAGTTTTCTGTTGAGTTCGTGTAGCTGAATCATTTTGTTAACTAGAGTTTGTCTTTGCCTGCTTGTTTTGCCTATATTGTTTTCAGTCTTACACAACAAATTACCGACGAATAAATATTTAATTTCAGCTTTGGTACATCTATAAAGCATATATTAGACTAATATTCAAATGGTCGAAAACAATTGCAAACCTTCATCACAAGCACTGCCACAGGGTTCACATAAGGAAACGTCGCCAGGTAAAGTGGCACTGCTACCTGAAAAACATAAACAGTTAGAATATAAACAATCGTGCATAATGAATCGTGATCAATGGCCGTCTCAGAATCAAACACATTATGAGTAATTCTTTCAAAATCGTACTCAAAAACGTTGGGAGTAGGTAATAATGACAGAAACAATTCAAATACAACCAATGATGTGACTTTTTGTTTCGGTTTGATGTACGAACAATGAAATCACCTACATTTTAGATTCTGAAACGGCGAATAACATAGCTTCTAGATGAGTTTCTAATGTTTTGTTTAAATAAATTGTAACATATTATTAGCATTTGAGATCTAGAATATATATTCAGCTTACTGTATTTAAACAAAATCAAATCAATGTAGTTTAAGGTTTATTAAACTGTGTGAAAGCTCAAAAAAAAAAAACAAAAAACAAAACGTTACGAAATTTGAAAAAAAAAAAAAAAAAAAAACACAAGATCGAAATACATTTTCACAATACATATAGAAAATACCTGATTTTTTAAGTGTGCGTATCTTTGGTTGAGTTGTGTACTGACAGAATGTACTACACACTGGATCATTATTATCTGGTATACTGCTCGCTGCGGGGTGATAAATTCTTTCAGTAGGAAATAAGGATTTGTCTTCATCTAAAAATTTTATAATTATTTTGATTATTGATATTTGATTTCTCTTCTAAAACAGTTTATTCCGTACATTGGACAATGTACACGTAAAGTGTATAGAAATGAATAACAGGAGGCGTACAACAGTTCTTGAAATGATACAGAATCAAATTATTTTCTTTTCGTAAATTCGTAAACATATGCTTCACTTTGGTTTCTATTATCTTTTAAATCAAAGTTTAAAAAGCAATACACATTTTTTTATTACAAAACAACAACAAAAAATTCGTAAGGGTTCCGCGGAACCCAGTGTCTCGCCTACTTTTGCTGTTAATCGCAGGCTCAACAAAATGAGGAAAACGCCATGGCAAACAAGGGAAAAGACCAAAGACCAAACACAACATAGAAAACTTGAGACTGAGCTACAGGAAACGCACACAAATACAAATCAAGAAAACTGTTATTTAATTAAACTATATTTGATTTCATTATTTGTTTTCAACATAAAACCCAAAGTTTTCTTTTGATGAATCCATAAAAAAATCTAAATACACATTTCTTTTAAAGGTTCACTTCGCCTGCTGGAGAACCTTTCTACAAAGGAAGTTATACTAATTTATAGCTAAATATTAAATAGTTATCAAGCAAACTAAACGTAATGTAATGCACCGAATACGACAACACCACAACCAATAACCATGGTGATGACAATCAGCACCACCTTGGAACACAGATATAGAAAAGAAAAAAGAACGCGTGCAAGTCGATGGAAATGAAAATTAATAATTATGAATACTTCATTTTTATGGCAATAAGATTTTACATACCTGATAATAAATAAAAATAGAATAAATTATCTGTAACTTTGGTTAGTTTCATGCAGAGGTATACCCATCTTCTTCTTCCACTGAATGTACTGTAGCTCATATCACTCCTAAATGAAGATATACATTTATTTAATGACAAAAGCTCTATTAATCATGTATTTACATTGACAAGATTCTTTAAACAACATTTGTATTTTGCAATTAATTTCGAGAGTGTTAATACAGGTTAAGATCTTTGATGAATTTAAAAGTAACAAGAAACAAGAATGTGTCCATATTACACGGATGCCCACTAACACTATCATTTTCTATGTTCAGTGGACCGTAAAATTGGGGTCAAATCTCTAATTTGGCATTAAAATTAAAAGGACCATATCATAGGAAAAATGTGTACTAAGTTTCAAGTTGATTGGACTTCAACTTCATCAAAAACTACCTTGACCAAAAACCTTAACCTGAAGCGGGATAGACGGACGAACGGACGAACGGACAAACGAACGAACGGGCGCACAGACCGAAAAACATAATGCCCATAGGTAGGGCATAAAAAATGCACTTGAAATTTGATAGTACAGAAAACAAACCGCGGCCTATGATTATAAAAAACTCAAACGTTAAAAAAACCCAGAATGCTTCGACTCGACAGACGTTCTCTGTTATCTATGAACCAACCAACTGAGTCTTTTTATTACATAATGTTCATCTTGATAATTCATTAATGTTTATTATCTATAATAATAACTTTTTATTGTAGTTTTAAATTGTTTGACTTCATCTAATGATTTGACAAAGACAGGTAAAGGCAACATATTGTTATGGCACCCTCAACGGAGTTGGGGTGACGTATTGTTATTCTACGTTTCTTTTTTTTTCTTTATTTTTTTCTTCCTCTTTTTTTGTCCAGCTTATATCTTAGAATTCTATGAACCAATTGTTATGGAACTATACCATAATGTTAACCAGCATGTGCAGATTTGCAATCGGGGTATGGCATTTTCAAGATGGCCGCCGTTACCATAGAGACAGCAAAGTGCTCCAAACTGCAAGAAACTTCACAGCATTAATAACTGGCATGTGCTGATTTGCAGTTTGACGTTTGAATTTTCAAAATGGCTGCCGTTACCATGGAAACAACAAAAATGTCCAAAATTTGAAAATGCTCAAAACTTAATGAAACTTTACAAAAATGTTAATTTGGATGTGTAGATGCACTCTTTGACTTTCGAATTTCAAAATGGCTGCCATTTCCCTGCCAATGGGGGAAGGGTGCCATCCGTTATTGTTAGCAATTACAAATCTAGTTATTTATTGTTTTTGTAGTCTAACTCCTTATTTTCTACCTTAAAACCTAACACTCACTTAAACACTGCAACAGAAACAGAACTAGACATTGTTAAGTTAGAAATGCACGTCCATTTGTCTAAAGTTGTTCCAAATGCATTCAAAATGATGTTTGACGGCTCCGGTAGGGTTGTTCTTCCAAACGTAAGAGTCGTTGTTTTCTGCGTATTGCTCGCAACGTCTGTATACTGATAATTCCAAACTGAATTTTGCAGTTCTGTTGGTAGGGTGCACACTGCAGCTATTTACAAACAAAAGATGTACTAAAATATAATCAATGAATACACTTTTATTCATACTGGTATGTCAAACAAGAGTACACATTGTGAAATGTCTCGCCAGATTTTTTTTACCATGATCGATTTTTGGTTGAAAGATAAAGTTTAACCACAAGTATAACATAAACTTAACATCATCAATGATCAATGACAATGAAGCCAACTGAAGGTCAGATAAAATCCTACCAACCAGTCATAAACACCTTACAATCATTCCATACACCACAAATAGTTGACCCATCTCTTATAGTATCAAAAAACAAACCAAATAATGAAAGCTAAACATTGACCAATGCCCCACGAAAATGAAGTAAAGGTCAGATGATACATGCGGGTCAGAAATGTACACCTTACAGTCATGCCGTGCACCAAATATAGTTGACCTATTGCTTATAGTGTCTACAAAATATACTTAAATAGAGAAAGTTTTCATTGATCAATGAACCATTAAAATGAAGTCAAGGTCAGACATGAACACCTTACAATGAATCCATATCTATAAAAGCCAAGAAAACTTTGACTAACGTCTTCTGTAGAAGGTCTTCAGACGGACGGACGGACGGACGGACGAACGAACGAACTGACTAATGTGTTCACACCTTACCGGATACTCAAACGGACGCCGAACGGATAAAAAAAAGTTTTCCGTTGACAAAATGTTTATTCGTTGGGAGTCCGTTGGTGTCCTGACCAAATAAAACGGACGCGTAACGAATGACTAACAGACACACACAGGATATGCAACGTACGAGAAACGGAAACGTACCGGACAGAACGGATGTCGAACGTATATCCAACGGACGAGTACCATATGAAACGAACACCTAACGGAAGCGTACCGGATAAAACGGACGAACAAGATAAGCGGAAAATTAAAGGCGGCAATACAATACATGTAGATCACATAGACGTGACCTTAAAATAATTCAAAAGTTTCCGTGTAACTGGTTTTAGTTTATTCTTAAAAATGCGAACTCCAAGATCCAACATGAATAATAAACATTCATAACACTCAAGAAATCTGACATACTAATAATTGGCATTTCTGACCCGAATTTTCAATTGGCATTTATCCGTTTTACATTCGGTACGTATCCGTTTTATCCATTATCCTTCCATTCATGTCCGTTTCACATCCGTTTTATCCGTTATACGTCCTGTAGAAGTCCGTTGGTAAATTGGTCTACCGGACCTCCAACGGATGTATAACAGACAAGTAACGGATACAAAACGGAAACAGAACGGACGAGTACCGTAAAAAACGGACGCCTACCGGCCGTTCGACGGACACTTCATCCGTTGGACGTCCGTTCAAAGATTTGAACATGCTCAAAATTTTCCACCGGACAGAACGGACGTCGACAGATAAAAGGGACGCTGAACGGACATGAAACGGATATGGACGGACGTCTAACGGATAATAACGGACGTCGTCTAAAGGACATGAACGGATTGAAAAAAAGTTATCCGTTCGGCGTCCGTTCGCGCTATCCGGGGCTTAACACACGGACGGACATTCAAACAAACTGAGTAGTTCGGTTATTAGACCTGCTTTCACTGTTGGTGACGCAGGTAAAAACATAACATGGATCCTACAGACACCGGTCTGGTTTTGTCGATGCGGAGATTTAGTGAACTCTGAAAAAGTTTTAAATTGGTATTTTACTGAAAAGGTGGGAGGGCAAAGATTTGATTTTATAATAACTTAATTATTAAAATTCAGAAACGGGTAATGCGTCAAAGAGACAACAACCCGACCAGAAAACAGCCCAAGGCTACCAATGGGTCTTCAACACAGCAAAACAATACATCACCCGGAGGCCTTCTTCAGCTGGACCCTAAACAATAATGTATACAGCAAAAATGGACGTCACACTAAATTCCGAAAAATATAAATGAACCAAAATTAACAAAAAAAAACATACAAGACTAACAAAGGCCTGAGGTTCCTGACTTGGGACAGCCGCAAAAATGCGGCGGAGTTAAACATGTTTTGTGAGATCTCAACCCTCCACCTATACCTCTAGCCAATGTAGAAGAAACAAAAACATTACCTCTAGCCAATGTAGAATAAACAAACACACAGCAATACACACAGTAAAACTGAAACAATCAAATATGCTATAAGAACCGAATCATGTAAATAACGAGATATATCATAGTGCGAGCAGAACAAAAGGTGAAAGATACACAATATGTATCTTTTGCATTGTGTATAATGGAGTTGAAGTTAAGTTCGTACAAGTACTCAAGTATCCTTTAACCGATGATCAACACATCGTTATTTTTTTTTCAATTTGCACGCATAGTGTAGGTGGTAATTGTAAACATATACATGGTTAAAATGTATTTGTTTACAAAGTGAGTTCAATATTTTCGAGTATTCATTACTAAACTTTAGTAACCTGATTCATAAATGACATATTTCAACTTTTTGTATTACATAATGTATGATGCATGTTTTGTTACTGTATATCCTAATGATGCTAACAGTACATAAAACATATTTTACCCGATATCCTACCAGCTGTACTACAAAAGGATATTTAGACACCTTGTATATTTGGTGATACGCCCTAGTCTTGAACCTTTAGGTGTTGACAGATTTGTAAATGTTTTAAATGGGATTTAAACAGACTGATTTAATTTTAGAAGCTGTACCTTATCATTATGTTCTCAGCTAATTGCGTATTTTTAACTCCAAGGGTGACGGGGGAATAGAAATATGGTCACTTTGGTCATCTTCCGATTGACAGTTAAAAAAATGCCAAAGTGGGACATCCGTTTGCCTGTGCGGGATGAATAAGTACGCACTCACGTTCGGTCAGAATGTGGACGTAAAAACCTATGCCTCGTGTAAAGAGAGTGCCACGCTTTCTGCATGTTGAGAACTCTTGCAACAACTCTTTGAGGGATCCGTAGGGTAGGTGACCTTTTGCGAGGTAAAATGTCTGTCGCTATTTAATAGATCCTCATTTTACAGTGGCAGTCCAAACTTTCCCGACCTTTTTCCCGGACGGCCTCTATTACAGGACCTACCTTTTGTAATTATTGTTAATTTGTTATCGTCCTAAACATACTTGAAATGTTTGCCACTGTGCGTTAAGCAACCATCAACCAATTATCAATCAATCGTATAAAAGACGATCCCCTACATATTTTTATTATAAGGTAACAACATTCAACGTATTTGATACAAAACGTAACAAAAAGTAAGCGTGCAAATGATTTATCATGTTTCACTGTTCAAATAAAGCTTCAAATAAGTAAAGGTACAAGTGACAAAAATATGTTTTTTTTCAAGCTTTGCAATATAGTAAAGTTTTATATGCATGTATATTGTTGACTATTATTCATCGTACAGAAGAACATAAGTCGCAAACTCTTGGAATATAAAAATCTTTCCGGGAAAATATTTAAAATTTGTAGGAGCATCATGTAAGTTCACTCCGGGTTTTAATCTCCTTTTCTAATACTCGTATCTATGTTATATCGTCGAGTAGTCACTTAATATCCCAAAGGTACATTAGATTTCATTTATATATGATGAGGTCGGAGATTTTAAATCCAACAATCACATTTTACACGCTAGCAATTTAGTATAATAATACAGGAACGATTTTAATATACATTTTTTGTATATGAGAAATTATTATACATAAGTTTGAGTGTAAACTAACCTGCTTACACATTTTTATATATATTTTAACCTCAATCTATTTGATATTAAAATAGGTGGAACATTTACTATTTTTTTAAACAATAGCATTACTTTATGGAGACAGAATAAGCTGTCCATAATAGAAATGATACAAAAAAGAAAAAGAAAAAAGAAAAAGACGAACTTGCTGGTGAAAAGCCAAGATATCTAGTCTTAATATTTAAATCATGCTCATAATTTGTACCCTTTTGTCTTGAAACAATATAAATCACTCCTTTCAAGTTATACATGCCTAATATAGATGCAGGGTATAATGACACAGAAACCATAAATTTAAACAAAAATAAGGAAACATTGAGTCTTCTTCAAAAGAAAGGTGAATATACAAAATGTGAGGCTCTAAATCGTCTTGAGACGTCAATGATTTGAAAAGTTAACAATAAAGATTAAATATGATGTTATAATTTATACCCGAGTATGTTTTCTTACGAGACCATTTACTGGGTATGAATTATTTACTGGAAACAAACATTTTAGGGTTGGAGGATTAACGGTAAATGATTTTTGCGATCCTATTATTTCACCCTGACTTCGAATTGCTTATGAGATGAGAAATGGCAACATCTGCATAAGGCCTATTTGCATCTTTTTCCCAAGGAGTAAGATAGATAATACTGGACGATTGGGATTCGAAGAACACGAAACATGTTTTAAAAGTAGCTTTAAGTGGTTTTTTGTTGTGTGTTTTGCAGTGCACTTACTGATTTTGTGTCACGAATGGATATTACATATTCTTTCTTTTGAATTGATTGACTATTTGAATAATACATTTCCTCCGGTTAATGATCATTTAAAAAAAAGATAGCAGAAAGTATGGAACACTTTACAACAAACTGCACCAAACAAAACAGGCTATTCGGACAAAAGAAAGGTAGTTGTCCCCTCGACACCAACTATTTCACTCGGCTTCGCTTCAGTAAATATTTTGTGTCTCGTGTACACTACACTTGATTTCGTGCACATAGCCAGTAAATAAGTGTATACTATTGAAACCCAATTCTATAAATAACAAAACCTATAATGTTTTACATACTTCAGAACAAGATTGAGCATATATTACTAACCGTATTGAGTTGTTATCGCGCCAAATATATCTAATGGTGAGAGAGAAGATTACTTAATTGGTTTGTAACAATATAAATCACTCCTTTCAAGTTATACATGCCTAAAGAATTGCAGAAGACTCTATAAAGTTGAATTCTTATTCGTAAACGATACTCTTTTTGACTGACATTTTTGTATTTTTATGAGTTTTGTATTATAAAAATATAGAAATATGACAATCAACAACTACTTTTAAATTAGAGGTTCACGATTTGGGCGTACTACCAAATATAAGAAGCGTCAAATTTCCATTCAGTAGTATTTTATGTACAGTAAGGGTATAACGTTACAAAACGAGGATCATATCATGAGGGTCTGGATTGGGGGTCCTTTAATTCTGTTTTCTTTAATGTAGTAGGCCATTTTCCTCTATTCTTTATACTTTTTGCCAATTATTCACTTTTCTTTATATTGTAACACCTGATTATTCTCTATTCTTTCTTTTTTTTTTGCCCATTTTCTGTATTCTTTACATTTTGTGCCCATTATTCTCCATTCTGTAAACCGCCATCCACACCCTCATATATAGTACATTTTGTATGTAATACAAAAAGTTAAAACACGTCATTTATGAATCAAGTTACTAAATATGTGCAAAAATACTCGTAAATATGCATTGAACCTTTTTTGTAAACATATACATTTAAACTATGTTACCACCCACACTATGCGTGTAATTTAAGAGAAAGATGTGTCCATCCTGGGTGAATGGGTACATGTCTGAACAAAAAGTTCACTCTAGTATTCACAATGTAACCTATACATATCATGTTTCACCAAGCGTTCACTTTCTTCAATTATTATGCAATGATTGTATAATTGTGACTGGTGCAGAACATTAAAAGATACATGCACCGACGTAATATGCACGTAATCTATCTGACACTTATTGTCATTAGGCGGAAGATATGAAAACACGGAATTTGTGTTTACGATTTTTTTATTTTGGTATAATATATATCAATGTTATCTACTTATCCATTTATGGTATTGCAATGTCAGAATATCTGGGATATACGTGTCAACTTTTCAAGTTTATCATCTTAAACCTATGCGATATTGAAAAGCTTTCAAATATGCAAAGAGCACTTTTACAAACATTCATACTATTTATGATTATTAATATTACATAATTTAAGGATGATAAAAGATATTAGTAAATATTTTTGAAAGGAAGGTGAATTGAAAAGGGATGGAAATATCCTGTTTGCATCACGATTTACCTATCGCAAAACCAGATAGATGACTGTATGAAAACGCCCTGCATATAACTGTAACAATTCTAAATAACTTTTGATTAACCTTATAATTGATAGAAAAAACTAGATTTTAAAATGTTCTATCATTTAAAAAAGGCCATATTACATAAAACTTCTTCATTGAGGACATTGGCTTAAACTTGTTATACTCTCAAATGTCTATTTCTTAATACAATGAATCCGCTGTGTAAAAAATACAACACGTAACAAACAGGTCAATTATATTCTAAGTAAACAGTGTAAGGTGCACGACTCATGCTACTTGAGGAGCAGGAAATGTTAACCCTCGTTGTACATGATTTCACCGCTATTTAATTGTTTTCCCCCCACCATATTTGATAATGCTGTTTAGCCATCTGCTTAATAAAATTAACATTTTTTCCCCATGTTTGTATATTTGCTTTTTGTAATTGTGCGATCTGTTTTTGAATCATTGATTGTGAATACCAAATGGCTTACACAATGGGGAACAATAAATTCACCCTGGATTTTGGTCGGTTTTGCTTTTGTTCCATTTTAATTATAAGTCAGTGTAGTGCTTAACAAACCGATATTTTTTTGTTCGTAGTGTCTTGCCTTGATGCTGTTTTTTGACGCGTTGGTTCTGATTTTCCCAATGATTGTTTATCCCTATATATAGTGGGGCTATGCTATGATGTAAAGAATGGAGAATAATGGATGAAAAAATAGAGTAAAGAGAAAAAATATGCCAACAATCATATTGTAAATAGAAATAATAACGAGGTGCTAAATCATAAAGAATAAAAAATTAAGGACCAAACAGATAAATAATAAAGTAAAAATGGTCTAAAAATAAAGAATAAATCAACTACAACTTCAACTAATAATTTGTTTTCTAAACTATCGACCAACTGGCAATACAATTGTAATCGTATATAGAGTTGACAGTCTTCTTTTAATAAACAAGAGTGTATACGGTGAAAAGTATCGCCTGATTTACTTATCATGATTGAATGTTTGTTGGAAGTCTGTAATATGAAGGTTTTACTATAAGTATCACATTAGATTAACATTATCAATCTAAAAGTTTATGGTCTATGTTTCTCTGCCAGACAGACATGTACATCTAACAATCATACCATACACCAACTATAGCGAGTCTATTGCTTAGTGTATCTAAGAAACATACCTACTTAACGAAAATTGAACATTGATAAATGAACTATAAAATGAGGTCAAGGTCATTTGAACCCTGCCAAACATCTTTACCGTGCAATCATTCCATACATCAAATAAAGTTGGCCTATTGCCGACAGTATCTGAGAATTTGACATAACAGTGACAACTTAACATTGACTTATGAACCGTGAAAGTGAGATCAAGTTCAGATGAACCGTGAAAGTGAGATAAAGGTCAGATGAACCCTGCCAGACAGACATGCACTCCTTACAATCATTCCATACACCATCTGCAGTTGCCGTATAGCTTATAGTATCTGAGAAATATAGACCACACCGGGAAAATTTTTACATTGTCCAATGAACCATGAAAAAAAGGTCAACGTCAGATGAACCATGCAAGACGGACAGGTACATCTTACAGTCATTCCATAAACCGAATAAAGCTGATACAATGCGTACAGTAAGTGGGAAAAAGACAAAACAACAAAACTTAACATTGACCAATGAACAATGAAAATAAGGTTAATTATCAGATGAAATATTTCAGTGATATATGTATACCCTACAATCATTACATACACTGGAGCTAGTTGACATATTGCTTATAATATCTGAGTTTCGGAATCGACCATGAACACTTTGATTATTAATCCATGAAACGAGGTCAAAATGAGGCGAACCCTGTTTGACGGACATTTAGACCTTGCAAGGATTCCAAATACCAAATATCGTGTACGCCGCCGCCGCCGCCGGATTGTAATCCCTCTGTCTCGCATTCTGAGACTTTTATCGCAGGCGAGACAAAAATTATACATACCTGTAAATGTAGAAAAACTCAACATCAGTACAACTGTTGTCAGAGAGATGTGGTCATAGTCTTTAAATACGTCCATATTGAACTTTCACTGTAAATGAAGTCTTTACATCAGATAATAACACGTTTCATTGCAACAATAAAGCCATCTGAAAAGAGGTCGTAATACAAAATTAATTTTCCTGAGAGAAAATTATGCCAACACTCCTAAACGACATGAATTTCTGAATGTATATACCTAGGTTTACAGATTGTTCTATATAACGTACATTAACTATCCGTTATACATCAACTATTTCAATAATAACAACAATTAGATGTGGACACTGAACCATAAAATAGGGTAAATATATACACCACCCCATCCAGTTAGAAATGCATTACTATTTTACACTTAAATATGATACATGTCAGGTGAAACTATCGTTTCCATTAAATTCGTTTCACTATATGACCTCTAATTATCGTTTGAGTGACATGTATTTAAAAAAATAAGGAAAAGATTGGATGTGACGGATACTTGATAGGGTCAATTAGTTTTTGAAATTTGAACTAGCTGGTACATGGTATATGTAGTGAAAATAAGTTATCTGATTTTGGTTTTTTCAAACATAATTCAAATTCATATGAAACCTAAATATGAGTGTAAACACATCCTATTAGTGAAACCGAAAAAAAAATACGGATGTTTTAATTTTATACGTCATTAGCGCATTCATTTCATAATCTGTCCAATGCTTAATGTCGGAAATCCGCAAGTTAGTCTATTTGTCTTATTTTATTACTGTGCAATGTATATTATATAATCTGTATACAAGTATGCGACACTTTAATAAAATAAATTATTCTAATTATTTATTATTATTATTATTGTTATTCTATCAAATAATAATTAAAAAAAAAACATTAAGAGACCAAAGAAAATACTTACCACAAATACACAATTATTAATCAAGAGGCCGACCGTGCGAGACCCTCATGAGTAGTCAAGGTCTTGAACACCTCCTAGTAATCGAAAATCAGCATGGAAGTGAGCACTTTAATCATTACATTATTGTTTTTTTAATTACAAAAATAAGTAAATACATAATAATGTCAGTTGCTATTTAACGCGTCACAATGAATACATTCAATATAAACATATCCACAATGCCGTCATAATGTATCTTTATGCATGCACATGTATCAAATGTATTTTTATACATATACATGTACAGATATCAAAATTAATGCATCTTTATGCAGATACATGCATCAAATGCATCCTATACATTTCATTTCATGAAATAAAAATAATTTAACAAACATGTAGAAGTAAATAAATAAAAATTAACATTTGATTAAGTCAAAAATATCTTATTATGTAATCCGTTAATTTGTTTTGTTTCACTTTCCGTTAAAATCGTGCACATTTTATTATATATAAATTGTGTTCACCACAACAGACAAGTCATTTATAAAACGGGTCTGTTTATTTTACATTGCATAAAATTGACACATATTTTTTTACATTATTTAGAATCTCATTTACGCATTCAGTTCAAAAAGATATCTTCTATTTAGAACGATAATATTAATGGAACAAGATACCAGAGAATTATGATTGAAATACCTTTTTCTATGTCACGGAAAGAAAAAAAGAAAACATTACTGCGATGCAAGGAACCAGTTAGCAAGGATGAGGCTTTGTAATAGAAAAGTCTACCAATGTGCGTGCGTTTGTTGTTAATTGTGATAGTTTTCCTACGTTGATCGCACATGAAGTATTATTCAGGACAAATGCTATACCATGTCCTAACTGTGATTTAAGATTTGTAAAAATATGCTGGGGAGGGATGTGGCAACAATAATCTTAAAATTTGTTGAATTCTATTTAGTGTCAGTTTTAGTTGTATGTTTGTAGACAGTTATGTTCGTCGGACAAAGAGGCATAACTTAGACATAAATATGTAGCAACAGTATGTTTACTAATATTGGTGTTGTGCTCTTTTTTACATGTACTCAATAGAAAAGAAAATGAAACAAAAAAGGGAAAAGTGAAGGCCTTAATAATATCAAAAATCTATCTATATAATTATGAATGCTACAAACCTTTTCGAGCAATTTCATTGTTATTCAACGCAAAATAGTTATCTAAAATACCTAAGACGATCTCATTTCGTACACGATCTCTTTTTCATAATTATTATACCCCAAACTTATTTACTAGGAGTATGTATTTATAGTGGAAAATCCATTAACTAAAACTTAACCGGCTGTGACTAATAAGAAACACTTTCTAAGAACCAGCGGCCAATACTAGGATCTAGAAAAAAAAAACAAGTTGCATGCGACATAGCAGAATTAACATTCTAAAATATATAACTAGAAAGAATTAAATTACATTTAATGTGCCGATCATTTGTACCTCCATAGTCTTTGGTTAATATTCGGAAACAATCTTGGAAAGCGTGGCAACTATTTGAATTTATATTAAGTACATACTTATATATGTTACTTATAGGGGACCTTTACTGCTGTTTTGCTCTTTGATTCTTTTTACATTCATCACCCGTTGAAAAAGGGGCTCCAACAGCTTATCTTACGGTATTGGTCATTGTTCAACGTTCTTCTTGTACAATGTAAATACGACATGTTTTATGTGTCTTTCGAAATTCAACATACCATCTTATCCAAGTTGCACGCCATTGTTTTAACCGTTTGATCCCGTTCTTCCCACTTTGCAATACTAATGTATTTGATTTATTTAGAATCATTCGTCCTAATTATACAATAAATATTTGCCACTGGACGTTAACATGGTTAAGGGAGTAATCAGTTTCATTGAGTAACCAATGTGAATTTGAATCTTGTATGAATTGCTGTCTTGGTATTCCTACAATATTTCCTAATTGTGATATTTATAGTAAAACTAATCGAAGAATTGAAATATAGAAAAATATTGAACGAGTAACCGAATAACACATTAGTTTACGACTACGCGTACTTTTGATACGGTCTTTTGTCCACGAAGAAGTTTTTGTCCAAGTTTCGTTAAATTCAATGAAGAGTTGACAAAGTTATTGATGTCTAAAATAAAAGCAAACCACAAACTAAACCTGAATGTTGACCACGCCAGCAATGAGACGATGGAATGAAGGATGGTTATGTCTTATTGCTCCGACTTTTTGCGCAGGGGAGACAAGCAGTCGTTGGTAAAGGGAAATAACCCATATAACGAGTCAATTGATTATTTCGGTCATTCAGCTTTAAGGTCGTCCTTATTTTGCTGATTAGTTTTTGATGGTGACGGTTTCCCTCCATCTACTATTATAGTTTCCCGGAAAACGAAAAAATACGTAAGGTTTTCAGTGAACTACAAGAGGAGTCGACAACTACTACTAATTGAACAGACTCTTTTCTCAAAAATTGTGTTCGCCGTTGCTTTGTTTTCGTAATCGAAAGCATCCCAAAGAACTGATGATAACGAAAATTCATGAGAATAATGGGTCTTAATTATAAAGACAAGAGAAAATGGGCGAAAATATAAAGATTAGAGAAGAATGGGCATACAAATTTAAAGTATACAGACCATTGCATGCATTATCGTCGAGGCTGCAGTATTTGGTGTGTTAAGCACACTCGGATATACATAAAAGGATTGGTTGATTACTCAATTTTCAGTAGCGAACATTACATGCATATTAAGGACGAACCAAATTAACAATAATTTCAAAAATTGACTGGGATAAATGGCAGGAAATTTGCACTGATACTAGAAAATAAGGCATAGAGTTCGTTGAATAGGTGTATTCATTTGACCTTACAACAGGCAAGCTCCGGACATCTCAGAGAGCTGTTGCAAGGATTGTTTAACACGCTTCCTTCACGATTTGTCGGATTTATTGTTTCAATTTCGATACGACGTGGCTACGTATTTATACATCCCACACAGCCAATCAATACTGTCAGACGGTAGAAGTTCATAGACCAGATATGAAACTTTTGTCTGATCAAAGTTCAACATTTAGGTTTGAATAAGACGATATGGGAAATACTTTAATGAGACAGCAACCCAACGACACTCAAAAACCAAAACATCTAGAGGTCAATTCACAGACATAAACAGTAGACAGACTCAAATAGAGAGAAAAAGCTTACAGAACGCGGTTGCCTGTTGTAAATAAGTTATTAACAAAAATACCAAATAACTCCAAGGAAATTCAAAACGAAAATTAAGTCCCTTATCAAATGGCAAACTAAAAAGCTCAAACACATCAAACGAATGGAAAACAATTATCATATTCTTGACTTGGTACAGACATTTCCTTATGTAGAAAATGGTGGATTAAACCTGGTTTTATAGCTAGCTAAACCTCTCACTTATATGACCGTCGCTTAACATTCCATTGTATTGACAACAATGTGTGAACAAAACAAACAGACATATTTTGGTATTAATATTGGTTCACTCATAGGGTCTTTGCATCGGAAATAAACACATTTATTCTGAAATCAGTTCTTGGCATGATACGGGTTATGTTCTTCTCATATATTTTATGATGTTATGATACTAAACCCCTAACGGAAGGGATTGTGCTTGATTTTCATATGTTGAAGACATCATCCTTCAATCAGTTTAATTGAGGTCTGGAGCTGGCATGTCAGTAACTGCTAGTAGTCCTTTGTTAATTTATGTATCATTGTCATTTTGCTTAGTTTCTTTTGTTACCTATTCTGACATCGGACTCGGACTTCTTTTAAACTGAGTTTTATTGTGCGTATTGCTGTTTGTTTGTTTATTCTACATTGGCTACAGGTATAGGGGGAGGGTTGAGATCTCACAAAACATGTTTAACCCCGACGCACTTTTGCGCCTGTCCCAAGTCAGGAGCCTCTGGCCTTTGTTAGTCTTGTATATTTTTTTTAATTTTAGTTCATTTATTTGTATTGGAGTTTAGTGTGACGTCCATTTTCATTGAACTAGTCATATTTTTGTTTAGGGGGCAGCTGAAGCCCGCCTCCGGGTGCGGGACTTTCTCGCTGTGTTGAAGACCCATTGGTGGCCTTCGGCTTTTTTCAGCACTTTGGTCGGGTCGTTGTCTCTTTGACACATTCCTCATTTCCATTTTCAATTTTATAAAAGGGTAAAAATGTCAAAAATAGGGGTACAGCAGTCAAAATTGTGCTATAATCTTAATCACTCATGATAAAAACAAACAAATATGTCAACAAAGAAAAACAAGATGGCATATAGGCAGTATTTTAATACTGTTGATACCTTGACTTTCTGAATATTAAAGACATAATTTCTAGTACAGAGTGTGACGACTAAATCTTAGTGCAGAGTGTGACAA